GGTCCATATGTAAAAAAAATTACATCACCGCCTCTCGGAGATGTAAAATACAACACTTCGTGATGCAAATTTGCATCACGAGATACATCTGATGTAAAACCGCTGCCGCCCGCGAAACGACCAACCGCCCGTTCATTTTCCTTCCCGCCCGAGCACCAGCCGCCGCCACCGCCCAAATTACCGTCACCGTCGCCGCCACCGCCCCAAATCACCGCCGCCGCCCTTGCCCGCGTCGCCTCCCCCGCCGGAGGGCGTCTCGCATTCGGGAAGCAGCCGCGACGGGATTCGCCGACTCCGACGGTCCGGCAGCCCGTATAGCTCCTCTCCGCCGGCCGCCGAGCTCCCTTCTCCTCTGCGCCGCCGTCCGCGGCAATGACTGGCCACCAATCCAACTGCCTGCCATCTTCTTCCACCCCGCACACAAGGTGTTCGACGAAATTCCCCAAGGTAAAAAAACGACGAAACTTGATGATTTAAATTGGGATTAGATAGTATGTTTGACTGTGGTTAACTGCATTGTAGATGAGCTCGGTTGACTCCTCATTCGTGGACGATTCATCGTCGGACGAGGAATTTGATTTGCATGAAGAGGACATTGCTATGCTAGTGGCCATGCACAAGGGGAAGAAGCCGAAGCACGGTGGTTCCGTCTATGGTCGTGCGTTCATTCGGAGAGAACGGATTGATGCACACAAACGGTTGATGCACAACTACTATGGATCACCACCTGTTTTCCCGGAGAATTACTTTCGACGCCGTTTCAGAATGTCGAAAGACTTGTTCATCCACATTTGCAATTCCGTGGAGCAGCATAATCCAGCCTTCGAGCAGAGAAGGAACCGTGCCAGGTTGCTTGGCCATAGCACCGAACAGAAGGTCACTGTCGCTTTGCGCATGATGGCATATGGTGTTCCGGCAGATTACATTGATGACAACTTGGCGATGGCAGAGAGCACTTCTATCTTCTATGTCAAGCAATTTGCAATGACTATGGTAGAAGTGTTTGGTCCACAGTACTTGAGAGCACCCGATGCTCAGTATGGTGGTGAGGCTTTGGCTTTCTTGTTCTTGCCGGTAGAGCTCTCTGGTACATCCTCAACAGGCATGCTACACTCTGAGGTGCGCTACCCGGTGGCCTCGCCAGAGGTCTTACCGGTCTTCTTCTTTCCTCCCCAGGAGCTTTGCCGGCAGGAGCAGGTGCCTTGACGGCAGATGTTGTCACTGCCTCTTGATAGAGCTTGTCAGCGCAGATAACTGCGTCCTTGTCGGAGTGGATGGTGATGATGCTCATCGAACCCGACATTTTCAAAGTATTATAGGCGTAATGTGACACTGCCATAAACTTTGCCAGGGCCGAACGACCAAGAATCCCATTGTAGGGCAATGGTATCTTGACGACGTCGGAAACAACCTTCTCGATCTTGTAGTTCGGTTTGGTGCCAAAAGTGACCGGCAAGGTAATCTTTCCAGTAGGCTGGCTCCTCCTCGGATTAACCCCTTGAAACGTTCCCGTTTCTCGGAGATCTCCATCAGGGATTTGCAGCCTCCTGATCATATCGGGGGAGATCAGATTCAAGCGGCCCCACCGTCAACCAACACTTTCGTCACCTTGAGGTTGCGAATTGTTGGAGAAACCAACAAAGGCAAACACCCGACCACAATGGTGCGGTCAGGGTGGTCCTCGGTGTCGAAAACGATAGGCGTGTCGGACCACTTGAGCGGCTTTTGCACCTTACTGCTAGTCTGGCCGCATTGATCTCACGCGCCCACTGCTTGAGCTGGTGGTGAGGGGAGTGCAAAGATGCACCTCCATCAACGCACATGGCCTCCACAGCCTTTTGAAATTCATGTCCCTCAGATTCTTCATCGGTGTCATCACCATCATCCTCGCCCTCCTTCTCGTGGCCGGGAGCAGGCTTCTCCTTCTGCTGTTGGCCCTTGGCGCGGCGACCCCCACGACCACCGCGGCTTTTGTTGCCGAACCCACCGGCGCCATCTTGGCCTTTCTCCTTGTCACGCTTCTCGTACTCTTACTTTTGCTTTTCGGCAAGATGTTCCACTTGCCGGCAATCCTCGACGTCGTGGCCCTTGGTACGGTGGATCTCGCGGTATTGCTTGCCGGAGCTCTCCATCTTCTCGCCTGCCACAACCTCCTGACAACCAGCATATCCAGCAACCTCGTTGTCGTAGCTCTCGGTCTTCGGCTTCTTGGCGGCATTGGAGTCGCCAGAACCCTTGACGGCCATCACAGTCTTGCCTTTGCGCATGCGGTTGCGCTTTTGGCATGTCTTCTTTGGGCTGGATGCATCGTCGTCCTTAGAATCAGCTTCGGCTCTGGCATCATCCCCAGGAAGTCTCCCTCCTCAGCACGCGCACACTGGTTCACCGAGGCATACAAGTCGTTGACGGTCTTCAACTGCTCGATGTTCAACTCGGCCCACATCCTGCGATTGTGAACATTCGTGTGGAACGAAGCAATCACAGCAGCGGGGTGCACATCGGGGATGTTGTGATGCACACGGCTAAACCTCTGGACGTACTTACGAAGGGATTCACCATCCTTCTGTGGAATCAAGTGGAGGTCACTGGGCTTCCCCGGAGGCTCATGGCCCCCGATGTAGGTCCCAACGAACACATGACACATGTCCAACCAAGAAGAAATGGAGCCCTCCAGCAAGTTCATCAGCCAAGATCTCACGCTGGGCTTGAGCGCCAACGGAAAATAGTTGGCGAGAATCTTGTCGTCTCTGCCACCACCAGCTTGCACTGCGATGGTATAAATATGCCAAGAAACTCGGACGGATTGAGCTTGTTGTCATACTTCTCCGGCAAGTCAGGCTTGAAACTTTGGGAAGAGGGCTACTGAAGTTGCCGCAGCTCGCGGATAAATGTTGGGCAACCCACATCGTAGGGTACGCACCCAAGGAACCCCTGTGCAGGCTCGTTCACAATAGGTCCTTCCCGCGCGTCTGACTGACGGCGTGCTTCCCGGCGGTAGTTCGAGCATCCTCAACGCACCGGTCGTTGATGACCTAGCGCTGATCTTGGTAGCGATTTCGGCAGCCTGGCGGATCAGACGACGCCATTGACATATCGTCACGGGCGTCGACCCGCTGGCTCTGCCATACTTACCAAGGAGGGGACTGCACCGTTGGTGCACCACCCCTGGTTCGCCCATCAGCCCCTCGTACCGGCGTCGTTGGCTGCCATTAAGAGGGCCCCGCCGGCCGCACCCCATCGTTGTTGGCGAAGCCCATGAGGCTCTAGATGGTGGCTCGCCACTCATCCATCTTCTCCGGAGCCGAAGGAAAGTTTAGCAGTAGCTACACCTGCGCCAACGCCTCCGTCGGCGACTTGGGCATGACTGGGCGCAAGGACTAAGAGGTGCCTCGGCTTCTATGCAAGCCAGAAGGAACTCCATCTCTGTCCTGCTGCCGCGGTCGATGCTCACCAGCAGTTCGACGTGGCGACAGGCCATGCGCGTCTGGTGCACATGCTCCTTTCCTGGACGCCAACCAAGGTCGACGTCGTTGCGGGGAAGCGCTTCATGTCCATCTTGTGATGGCCTCGGCATGCGTCCCACCGCTCCAACAGTCTTGGATCTCGCGGCGTCATCCTTGGACGTAGCCACAGCGACCTTATGAGCCGCAGCGCCGCCTTTCGACATAGCGATGTGCGGGTCTTGACTCCCGACAAAGTGATGACTCATGCCTCCAGAATGGCGGGGAGAGTGCTCGCCGGCGCCCCTGTCCACCGGAGGTGTCTGGGTCGGCAGCTTAGAGGCAAACGGTGCACCCACCGTCGCGCTCTTCTTCTTGGGCGCCATGGATGAAGAAGATGGTGAAACTTGCACGAGAATTGCTGGAGTAGATCCGCACAAGCGATCCCCCTGCCTGGCACACCAAAGATGTTAGGGTACGACAATCTATGGGACCAGCGAGGCCCCTTTGCAGTTCGGCTAGGGAGATGAACAAGCACGGAGAGCAAATCCAGAGGTTAATGTGCAGGGTTTTCTTAGGTTCGGGCCGCCATGGGGGCGTAAATCCCTATCCTCCTGCCTTTTGATGGATTGACTTGGGGCTCAAGTTACAAACAAGCGCAGCTTGCCAAAAAGGTGCATGCAAGGTGCAGCTACTGTGTAAGAGTGAGCAAAGTGTCGACCCGTGCCCAGGTAGCCATGGGCCTTCTTTTATAGACAAAGAGGGTCACCACAGTGGCAACATGGTCATTTACATGTATGGAATAGTGGCTTCGACGTTATCCAATCTAATCCCGCCGGACTAGGACAAGGCATTTAATGCACCGTGAGCTGATAACGATCCTTGGCAAAAAAGCGTCTCTCCTTCTATGCCATCGGTCCAGGCGAGCCTATCGTCTTGACACGTCCACTAGACGGGTGTCAATAAAGTTAACCTTTATGCAATGTGCTGACACGTGTCCTGATGATCATCTCTAAGCCGCCTACCCGCTCGACACCTAATCTTGACAAGCCATCAGCTGACCGATGAGGAGGAGCGGCCGAAAAGCGGGAGGGAGAACTTCCCAGCAAGGATCTTGTCGGATCTTGGCTTGCCGGTGTGGAGCTTGCCGGCAATTGGAGTCTTGACCTTCAGTACTAACTTAGTACTTCTCAATGACCTGCCGAGAGATGTTCTTCACGGTCTTGTGAATTGAATCTCGAGTCTTGTATGCAATAGTCCTCCGACAAGCGTTGCCAGCGGAAAAGCTACAACTGCCTGTGCACAAGTCAGGATACTAAGGCACCCATATCTTAGTGCACCGACAACCTAGAACATCAATTATTTTGGAACGGAGGGAGTAGTGTTTTAGAACAAGAAAACATAGTATGTGGTTAACTCATTTGTACTCACCCGCAAAAAAAACTCATATGTACGGGATCAAAAACTAAATATGAAGGGATATAGATAATTCTCGAAAGCAAAACAAAGTGAGAGAAGACACATATTCTATCAAAAAGAACTACAAATAGTGCAACAGACCTTCCGAGTGCCATCGCATTGCCAAGCGTGAATGTAACTCCAAACTTCACAGGATTGAAGAAAACGATCATCGACTGCAATGACAAATACAAAAGCCAAATAAATAACACAGTTGGACTAAATACTAGCAATTGCAATGACTGGCATTTATACTTCTATATAGTGCAGGAATAAGTTTCAATGCTAGCCGTTGATACTACTACATCCAACGGCAGAAACTATCGTGAATCCCTGTGTTTTAAGTCATGGATACATTGAATCAAACGACGAACATCCTCTCGAAGCTCGGCTCTAGAAACTTCACTTGCACCCGTGTCCCTAGCCACTAACGCCTAGTGAACCAGTCGTTCTTTGCATCTTAACCTAAAATCCAGTGATCCGCCTGCCGAAACAACAACCAGAGTTAACTTGGTCCCGCGTAGAAGTAGAATAGGGATTAAATTAGAAAAAAAAGAGAAGTGCAAATTTTGGAAAATAAATCCTAGAGTCACGGTTCCGATTGAGCATCAAAGCAACCGGCAAATTGCAGCAAAATAAAGAAACTTTCACATGAGAATGAGCCGAAAAAAGTACCTTCCAATTTTCTTCTTTGTTGCTCCAGCGGAAAATGGATGCCCTATACACCCTCACTCCAACAACCCAGTTTCTAGATCCTTTGTGCTTGCCTCATGCTCTTGGCACCAAATGGAACAACAACAGCTACCGCCCATGTCGAGATCAAGACCAACAGGTCACAACCAGGAGCGCCGCCGCGGTTTCCGCTATCAGCATCGATAACTCCGTCCAACTGTGCATGTGGTGCCAGGTAAAGCCAAGAGATCAATGCGGCCTGGTACATCTCGAGGAGAGACGGGCCGGTAATCTGAGGTCAAGGTGGGCAATGGGCCATGGATCATCCATCCCTCCTGAGGCAACAGATATGCTGAGGGTAAGAGTAGTAGTAGTTCTGATCATAGTGGGAAAGAAGTGCCTTAGAAAGATGATGACATACGTCGAAAGGGATGCAGCATTAGACAAAAGACTGGAGGAGGGGGTCATTCCTGGTGAAGTTGGGGAATCAAGATGTGAGAAGAGTGCGAGTGAGTGCCGTGTGCGTTGATTCTTCCACTTCGATGGATTATTGTGTTCCGAACAGAGACGAAGATCGGGATGGAGAACTTCCATAGGTAAAAGAGAAGAACAGGATGCAGCCCCGATGACCCATGCTAGCCTAGAAGGATAGAGAATGACTACAACTAAAAGGACTATCCCTTTAGAAAAAGAGGAACCATGACCGTCAAATACATTGTGTGCATGAAAATTAGAAGTAGCTCCCTACAAAAAAAAGGTAGCTCTGTAGCTGATGTAACCCTTCAATAAGAACATATTTTTATTCATTTGCAGGACTGGCCCTTTAAAAACAATTACCAATTAGAGCCATAAGAAAACAATTCAACCAGTTCAGACTGATTTTATAGACATTTGACAAACTCTAACAAAATGTTTAGTCTAGCTGTTTTTTATTTTCATGGTTAATAGAATTACCAGTAGTAAAAACACCGGGCAAGACACATGATATTCATTGAACACAACAACAATGATATTAGTGCAGAAATATATACAAGGCTTTATATTGTTAAGCTTCATGCACTAGCCAACGCAACCAAAAGTTTGAGCTGATGAAAAGGCGGGTGCAATCCACATATACTGTAACACCCCCTCTCACGTGTGACGGGGAAGACAAGTCAACATGTGCAACCGGAAGAGAGACGGCGCGCAAAACTCACATATGACTCAAGAGGCCTCTACGTGGACACAAAGGGGGCCTATCAGCAGCAACAACAACAAAGCCTTTAGTCCCAAACAAGTTGGGGTAGGCTAGAGGTGAAACCCATAAGATCTTGCAACCAACTCATGGCTCTGGCACATGGATAGCAAGCTTCCACGCACCCCTGTCCATAGCTAGCTCTTTGGTGATACTCCAATCCTTCAGGTCTCTCTTAACGGACTCCTCCCATGTCAAATTCGGTCTACCCCGCCCTCTCTTGACATTCTCCGCACGCTTTAGCCGTCCACTATGCACCGGAGCTTCTGGAGGCCTGCGCTGAATATGCCCAAACCATCTCAGACGATGTTGGACAAGCTTCTCTTCAATTGGTGCTACCCCAACTCTATCTCGTATATCATCATTCCGGACTCGATCCTTCCTCGTGTGGCCACACATCCATCTCAACATACGCATCTCCGCCACACCTAACTGTTGAACATGTCGCCTTTTAGTCGGCCAACACTCAGCGCCATACAACATTGCGGGTCGAACCGCCGTCCTGTAGAACTTGCCTTTTAGATTTTGTGGCACTCTCTTGTCACAGAGAATGCCAGAAGCTTGGCGCCACTTCATCCATCCGGCTTTGATTCGATGGTTCACATCTTCATCAATACCCCCATCCTCCTGCAGCATTGACCCCAAATACCGAAAGGTGTCCTTCTGAGGTACCACCTGGCCATCAAGGCTAACCTCCTCCTCACACCTAGTAGTACTGAAGGACACCTTTCGGTATTTGGGGTCAATGCTGCAGGAGGATGGGGGTATTGATGAAGATGTGAACCATCGAATCAAAGCCGGATGGATGAAGTGGCGCCAAGCTTCTGGCATTCTCTGTGACAAGAGAGTGCCACAAAAGCTAATGACATCCAAGGAGCTCTAGAAAAATAAAAACCAGCTCTCCGAAATGCTTTTTATTTTAAATTTACTGCTAATGCCGTGTGCCAAATTGGCAAAACATCGTGAATACTAACAAGAACTCCTAATCATACACGATGTTATCTCCATATGAGATCCAAAAGGAGACGGCCTGATAAAGCATAAGAAGATGACTTAAACCCGAAGGTTAAAGAACATACTGCAAGGGTGTAGCATCGGAATAGGTACAAATAACAGCGTTCAGGAAGAAAAAAAAATACTATTAATCAGGCGATGTTACACGTGCAGAAAAAAAAATAGGGGAACTGCGCATATAAGAATGCTGATAAGGCAGGTAAGGTAAACTCACCAAGAAAGTGCAAGTCAAACCGGCAGCCAAGCATGTCGCAAAACCATACAACCTCTGCACACAGAAAAACAAAATCGAAAGGTCTTGGATTTCAGTTCTGTGGTACAACCACTATATACAACAAGAACAGTAACCCAGATTTGATGAGCAGCGTAGCCGCATTGATGGAGATGTTCTACCGCGACCTATCCTCATCAATCCTTGCTGGCCAGTCCCCGAGAAGGTAATGACTGCAACTACGTAGTTAGCATTATCTTGGCTGATAGTCCCGGGTGACTCTCACAGCCAGATCTGAGCGGAGACGCCTCGGGTCCGAGAGGTAGCAAGTAAAAGATGGGGAACGGAGGAGGAGGAGGCGGCGGCTTTCCTGGGTGGTGTTGAGGGTGCAGTGCCGGTTGATGTCGTCGAAGAAGGACTGCTCCTCAGGCGGCGGCGGCGCGGACTCCTCGTCGAACTCCATGCCGACCAGCATCTTGACCCGCTCCAAGGCATCCCGCATCCTATCCATGCTAGCTCAGATACTGGGAATCTCCGATGGGGGCAGCCTCGAAAGCACGGCCAGCGACCCGTCGGTGAAGGCTGGTGCGGGAGGATCCCGTCCGGCGAGGAAGATGGCGCAGTGTTCTTTCACGGCCAGCGGAGTTCACTTTGGTACCACAATTGGGCCTGGGAAACCACTTTACGGGTTTTTTTTCCCGGATCAGGCCGCAACTGACCAGCGGGCCCCGCTTGTCAGGTGCTGACGTTGCGAGGAGGCGCGTGTCGGCCCCTGACTAGGAGTAAGTCTGACTCACTCGCTCGATTTGGCTCGGTTGGAGATGAAGCCTAGCATCTGCGCGGCGTAGAGAAACAGCTCAGATTTGGATTGCCCTATTCCGCGGCCATGACAGCGTCAAAGAAGCCATGTACTCCCATGGCCTCGATGGCTACCTCCAAGTCACGTCCTCCTCGCTGGACACATGGGCTTCGGCCTTCCTTGATCTCCACTCGCCGACTCGACATCCCGTCGTTGCGCCCATGCACGAGCTACTCTCCCACGGGCCACAGCTCTCGGAAGAAAGGTCGTTGACATGTGCTGCTCGCGAACTCCAGCCTTGCACGAGCTGCAATCCTCCGCTGTCGTTGCCTTCTCGCGAGATCCTGCCTCTTGAGCTCGTGCACACCACCAAGCTCCTCCCAAATTGTCGCACCCGGCGGCGGCGGATGTGCTCATGTGTGTGATGTTTGATGTGTGTTTGCGTGGGTGCACCATTTTGTGTTGTGGTGCAGGCATGTGTATGGCGTTGATACGTCTCCAACGTATCTATAATTTTCGATTGTTCCATGTTATTATATTATCCATCTAGGATGTCTTATATGTTATTTTATATGATTTTTGAGACTAACCTATTAACCTAGAGCCCAGTGCTGGTTTTTGTTATTTCTTTATTTTTGAGTATCACGGAAAATGAATACCAAACGGAGTCCAATTGACCTGAAAATTTACGAAGATCATTTTTTGACCAGAAGAAGCCCACGGAGTATCGGAGATGGATCAGAAGAGTCACGAGGCCACCACGAGGGTGGGGGTGCGCCCTACCCCCTAGGCGCGCCCCCCTGCCTCATGGTAGGTTTGTCGCAAGAGGGGTAATCTTCACACGATCCCATGTACTGAATAAGAAAGGGATAAAGAGTTGGCTTACAATCGCCACTTCATACAAATACAAAACATACATCATCCAGAATACAATCAAGGTCCGACTACGGAACCAAAATAAAGGAAGACAACACCAAATGTTAGATCCCCGATCGTCCCAACTGGGCTCCACTACTGATCAAACGAAAAAGACACATAACAACGACCAAGATCTTCATCGAGCTCCCAGTTGAGCTCGGTTGCATCACCTGCACTGGTATCATCGGCACCTGCAACTGTTTGGAAGTATCTATGAGTCACGAGGACTCAGCAATCTCACACCCGCGAGATCAAGACTATTTAAGCTTATGGGTAGGAGAAGGTAGTAAGGTGGAGCTGCAGCAAGCACTAAGCATATATGATGGCTAACATACGCAAATAAGAGCGAGAAGAGAAGCAACGCAATGGTCGAGAAACTAGAAGTGATCAAGAAGTGATCCTGACGCTACTAACGTTCAAGCATAACACAAGACCGTGTTCACTTCTCGGACTCTGCCGAAAAGAGACCATCACGGCTACACACACGGGTGATGCATTTTAATTAAGTCAAGTGTCAAGTTCTCTACAACCGGACATTAACAAATTCTCATCTGCCACATAACCGCGGGCACGGGTCTCGAAAGTCTATACCCTGCAGGGGTGTCCCAACTTAGCCCATCACAAGCTCTCACGGTCAACGAAGGATATTCCTTCTCCCGGGAAGACCCGATCAGTCTCGGAATCCCAGTTACAAGACATTTCGACAATGATAAAACAAGACCAGCAAAGCCGCCCGATGTGCCGACAAATCCCGATAGGAGTCGCACGTATCTCATTCCCAGGGCACACCAGATGGGCCAGACGTCGGGTTGGCATAGACCCTCGTTGCCCAGGGGGCGCCGGACATCGCCCAGTTTGGACCAACACTTGGAGGAGCACTAGCCCGGGGGTTTAAAATAAAGATGACCCTTGGGTCTGCAGAACCCAAGGGAAAAAGGCTTAGGTGGCAAATGTTAAAGCCAAGGTTGGGCCTTACTGGAGGAGTTTTATTCAAAGCGAACTCTCAAGGGGTTCCCATAACACCCAACCGCGTAAGGAACGCAAAATTAAGGAACATAACACCGGTATGACGGAAACTAGGGCGGCAAGAGTGGATCAAAACACCAGGCATAAGGCCGAGCCTTCCACCCTTTACCAAGTATATAGATGCATTAAATAAATAAGAGATATTGTAATATCCCGACATATCCATGTTCCAAACATGGAACAAACTTCAGCTTCACCTGCAACTAGCAACGCTATAAGAGGGGCTGAGCAAAAGCGGTAACATAGCCAAACAACGGTTTGCTAGGAAAGGTGGGTTAGAGGCTTGACATGGAAATTTGGGAGGCTTGATAAACAAGTGGTAGGTAGCACGACATAGCAATAGAACGAACAACTAGCAAGCAAAGATAGAAGCGATTTCAAGGGTATGGTCATCTTGCCTGAAATCCCGCAAGGAAGAAGAACGAGTCCAATAAGAAGGCAAACGGACGTAGTCGAATGAATCCTCACAAACGCGACGTTATCAGAACTAACCCGAAGAAGCAATACCGGAAAGAAGCAAACAACATGGTAAACAACCATCACATAAACATGGCATGATGCACAACCAAGTATGATGCATGTCCGGTTTATAGAGGCATGGCATGGCAAAGTGAACAATCAAAACAACAAATTAAGTGGAGCTCAATATGCAACGAGTTGCACATTGACGAAACACCACATCAATTATTTAGTTCTCTCTTGTTTATGTACCCAACAATTTTAAATGTTGTTAAGCATGCAAGAGCTGAAGCATAAGTAAAATACACAGTTAGGCAAGTTTAAATGAGGCCGGAAATAACAAGCAACAATTCCGGTAAATCCCCATATGCATTTAGCAATTTAATGCAACCACCAATTTTTAAACATTTTAAATGTTATCATCATGATGCGGATGCCATATGAAAGTTTTATGCATTTTTTGTTAAAAGTTGACATGAGCATATTTTGAAGGATTTGTCACCGTGGTGGAAAGAAAGGGTGCCACGGCGACAATAACGAAAACGGTGCCACGGCAACGTTCCGGTTCCGGTAACTCGATTGAGATGTCGGTGCAAAAGAAGCAAGGGTGCGGATGTGCGGAACATGCTAGAGATGGTTGGGTGATCCCAGATTCCGGGTGTCCCATGAGTTGGCGACAAGGAAACGAGTGACAATTTGGACATGGTGCAAACACGAGCATCTCAAACATTGCAAGCATTCGTTCACGGATGTCGTCTCGGGGTTATACCTTCGAAGCGTGCAAACGAGACGGTTCGGGTTCGGTGCAAAGTATAGGAAGTAGACGTTCTCGGGGCGTTTGTAGTGGAGGTAGTCGTTCATGTTCGGGAAGCGGTAGAGGTACGGGTCTTCGACAACTATCATCGTACACGTTCTGAGGTCGTCGGTAGAGGTTCTCGTGATCTCGGCAACGGTAGTGGTACATGTTTTCTTAGATGTTTGAGTCATCGGTAGCGGTACTTGGTGAATCTCGAAACGGTCTTGGCGTCTTCACGCGTAGGGGTACTTGAAGAATCCGTGTAGTCGTGCACGCTCCAACATCAAACTTGGAGGGACACCGACGGCGTGGTACTTGGCGAATCCTGGACGGTCTCTGATGGAGGTGTTTGTTCGTTTAACCGAGGAAAATAGCGGCAGCAGCAGACATCGCAGGAGCCAACGGGCGCGGTCGCGCGCGGACGACGGGGACGGCCGGAGAAGCAGCAGCAGAAGCAAAACAACAGCAGCAGTGAAGAAGCCGGCGGCGGCTGGAGCAGATCGGACGCCATGGTGCTACGCTCCATGGAGAGCACAGGTGAGGCAGAAGGAAACCAGGGGTCATCGGCGTCGACCGGTGCTCCGGGAAGGTCGAGGAGGCAGGGGCGCGTAGACGGGGCTTGCTGGAGGACGACCAACGATAAAGGGAGCAGCAAGGCGGAGCAAAGGACGGGCAGAGGCTTCACGTCTGCTGGGGCTCCGGTGAGGCTGGTTGTTGCCGCCGGCAGTGACCAGACACGGTGGCGGGGGCTTGCCAGTGACGAGGAGAAGCAGGGGCGCCGGACCGCTGGGAGCATAGCGGCGGCGGCCATGGCACCCGGCGAAGGAGGCTGAGGCGTGCAGAAGGCTTCAGTGGGCGAGAGGAGGCCACGACAGGAGGTTGGAGGGATCTGGCGACGGGATGAGGGATTGAGAGGAGGAGGGGGTTCGAGCGAGAGAAAGATCGAGCGCGAGGCTCTCCTGGCTCGATGCGTGCATGAGCGGCGGCCTGGAGGGAGACGATGGAGATGCCAGGGGGTCTGAGAGAGGCTAGGGTTAGAGGGGTGTGGGCCAAGGAGGGGCAAAAGGGGTCGGCGCTGGTGGTTGGGAGGCCCAGGTGGCCAGAGGCCTGGCTGGGCTCTCTCTCTCCGCCTCTATTTCTTTTTCTTCTCCATTTTCTTCACACAGAAACTTGGAGGAAAAGAAAGAAAGGGGTAGACAGGGAATTTGACAGAGATAAAAATATATTTGGAGTCCTGGAAACATGCACAGTTTGAATAAACTGGTTTGGGCATTTTTTAGGATATAAAAATAATTCAAGTTTGAATTAAATTCAAACTTGAGCCATTTTTAAATCCAGCCAAAACAGTTCCAAAGGATCTGAAATTTAGCAGAGAGGGTGTAGGCATCATTTAGGATTTATAGGGATAGGTTGAACATTTTTCCGAACAGGGGAAATGCCACAAGAAAAATAAATGGAATAAAGAAGAAAAGAGAAGTTTGGATGGGATAGAAACTTGGGTGAATCCAAGTTG